AGAGTTTTGGTTTGCAGGTATCTTTAAACTTTAGTAAAGAGTTTAATGAAAACTCGCTTGTCATTCTTTTATTAGACCAACTATTTCCTAACTTTGTTAGCAAAGCTGTGCTTCTATTAAAATTTTTTGTACAAGGGCACTACCTTCCTACCAGTTATCTTGTACAGAAATACTTTTAACTTGCATACTGAATATACAGAGGAGTCCAGGATAAAGTGAAAAAGTCTTGACCTTTTTAAAAACTGTTATAATGTGCTTGTTATTAGTTTCTAAGATATTTTGATATATGTTTAAAATCTACAGCAAAATCTATATTTTTTGCTGTCTAGTTAGATTTTTATATGACAGAGTTGGTATTACACATTGTTAAATAAACTCTTTTATTTATTTGCCTAGATACTATTAATCTGTATCTTAAGCCAGTTTTTTCTACTATCATTTTCTTTAAGTAGATACTCTAAGTCATTTTATTTTTATCCTATAACAACTTGGTATTACTAAACTTTCAATTTATACTTCCTACTATAGTAAAGAACAGGACTTTCATTGTCTATACTCAAAACAATTCTAGTTATATTCAAAGAGTTCTACTAACTTCAGTAATACTATACTAGGATTCTAAACAATGCAAGTAAAGGTTATATTGCTACATTATCCACTTTTCTGCAACTTTGATTAAATAAAATAAGATTCAACCAATCAAAGTTGCAGATTTTGAATAAAATTTGTAAAAGTTTATATTAGAGCTAATATAACCTCTATTAATATTATTTAGAATTCTACTATACTACTAGATAATACAAGCTTTCAGCCAAGATTATCATAATACAGAACAATTTTAGTTGTATCTAAAGAGTTATTCTGATCTTAATAACACTATACTACCTTGTTTTCTACTTTTAACAAATAGCTATTACTCTGAATATATTATTGTTAATATATTCCTAAATCTTTTTTCATCCTAAATTTCTATTTAGATGTGATTATTATCTAATTCAGTACCTTTATACTTACAAAGAAGTTTAGTCTACTTCTATATTCTAGCCTTTTATAATAACTCTAGTTGGCTATGCCAGAGGTACATCTTCTTCTAGTAAGGTCAATCTTTTACTACAAACTGTATATATGTACTACTTTTCTTACTACTCTAACTTTGGTTATTGATAACCACACTCCCAAGCAAGTATCTGTATTTTTAATCTAGATAAGAACTAACTTATACAGTTTGATAATAACTCTTAAACAAGTATTCCATAAGTTGGATATAGAGATATTGGTACTGTCTAAACTACAGTAAAAATATAATGATGTTAATACTACTCTGTCTTAAGAACTTACTCACATTATTACTATAATTAGAGTCTTTTATAATACTGCAATTACACATAGCAGTGTTGTCAAATGATTTTTAAATGATATAAAAAATATTGTGACATTGTTATTTGTCACTTTGTCATTTAGAAAATAATGACAAATAACAAAAATAGGTATTATTTTAGATATTTTAAGATTGGTTAAATTCTAAAATACTCAAGTATATCTAAGTTGATACAAAGTTTTAACAATTTTGAAATTCTGTGATTAATTAAAATTTGTTATTCTTAAATGACAAAAAAACAAATGATCTATATCATTTGTCACTAATTTGTTATTTGTCACTAAAATTTGAAATGACATTGTCATTTAACAACACTGACACATAGTGCTATCTACTTTATATCTGGGTCTCCTTCCAAAAATTTCTATTCTAGCATATATTATACTTGAATTTAACCACAGAGCTTCATATTCAATTTGGCTCCTAAAAAGTTACAGAAATAAATATTAATTTGTCTCCAGCCTGACTTGAACTGTTAATCTTGTCTGTAGGAGTTTGAAAGCTTAACCAATAAGCTATGGAGCCCAAATCTCAAATTTTTATTTTACTAGTAACTTTAAAAGAAAATAATATTATCAAATTTTGTTATATTCAAAAACAAACTTTATAGTTTTATTCTACTCAATTTGTTGTATATTTCTATAAAAAGTTTTTTTATTTAACTATATTTTTGAATTTTTAAAACACATCTATAATGTTTTACATTTATATATACATTATCTCAAAAACTGGCTAATTAATTGGTGTGAAGTATTCTAAGTAAAAATATTCTATGCTTCTAAAAACCCTTTTCAAACCCTAATCCTAACCTTAATACTAACTTTAACGTAAAAAAATTGGTATTAAAAATTTTATATACAAAACTTATAAAAACTTAGACAATTTTAAAAACATAATAAAACATATAGTAGGAGCAAAACCACTATAGGTGCGTTTTATATTTTTTAATTTTTTTAAAATTTTAAAAATTTTTAATTTTTATATTGATTTAAGAATTCTCGCACTGTAGTAAAAATGAACTATGTACACTCTACTCTTAAAATCAACTTAAACATTTTAATGATGAGTATTAAGAATTGGCTTGATAACAGAAAATGTAAAATCATAATTGTGTAAAAGAGTTTCTTATCATATTATAGGTAAAGCTTCATTATAAATTTTTGTAATAGTTTTAATGCTGAATCTTTGAAGATTCGGTTAAAAGAATATTGCCAGGTATATTAGGATCTTCATGAGTACAAAAATATTAGATAATACGTAAAAATCTGTACTATAGTAATTTTATTATAATACCTTATATAGACTTGATCATTTAATATATGAAATACCCCAATGCAGCATGGTATGGTTAAAATGCGCATGGTGCCTATCTCTAGTGAATACTACTAAATAAGTTCTAATAAAAAAATTAAAATTTCTGATCATAGTAGTGGCTTTACGAGTACATGAATGTCTTCAGGATTTCTTTTTTTATAAAACAAATCACTATATTTGTACTAAAATACTGTAAATTATAAAAAATAATCTATATAAAACACAACTATTCTATAAGCACTTTTTCAAAAAAAGTTCTAAACAATTTTATTGGTTAATCACCATCATGAGAATTGAACATTTAATATGAAATTTGGAATTTCCTTTATTCAAGATTCTAACTTTAAATTTTAACAAAGTTATAAAAAAATGCACGTAAATTTTAATTCAAATAAGACACTTTTAAGTTTAATCTGTCAATAATTATACAACTCACTCAATCATTTTTCTATTTTGTCATATTACGCAACTCCAATATCGATTTCCTTATAAATATTTCTGTAACGGATTTTTGATGTAATTATCAGAATTTATAATGTGGCTAAAGATAATTAATAGTTAATAGACCTAATAAAATACAACTATTCTACATTTGCTACGTAAGATCATTTAGTCTAGGAACTGCACAGAAAAAAGTGCAGTTGATTACATATTGGATGAAGAAGGTACACTTCATAATAAGTATGGATCCTTCTTTCTAACTATTTTTAAACCACTTAATTATCTAAAAATAAACTAGTGCATACAGGTACAGTACATGCACATACAATTACGTACATGTTAGGTGATTAATTATCATACGTACGTACTCAACGAAACTTACTAACACGGATTTAGAAATAAGACTAATTCCGTGTGTGTTTAAAATAGATTTTTTGTAGTATGCCAACTTTGCGAGTTTATCCCAAGAATCTTGGACACATGCTCGCATTTTATGGCCTATCAACCAAACTTCCCTATTGCTGTGATTGTGTGATTTCTTTAAAATATCTAATTGACTGTGAAACACAGATCATCGCTGCATTAATCAAATGTCACTTAACGCTCGCTATAGAACCTGAATTTCATACGTAGTAACTATATCGATATGGTTACTATGCAGATTTTCTGTGTACGTAGTAGTTGCATGGTTGCAAAGAACTCATTTAGGGAATGGGCAATTTCCATGCTCAGTTTACATTCCCCAATTAGGATTAGATTTGCAAACCCCAAAATGTTTAAAGATTATTAATAGAGTTTGGGATTTGGCGTGGACTAACCCAAATTGGCAAGTATAACTAGGATCTGACCATGATACCCAAAGAGATCCGTGTCACTTCACCGAAAATCACTCCAGATGACAGTTTACTATCAATATATATTGCAACTATATAATACTGTAATACAGTAATAAACTGCTAAATTGTCATTCCCATGTGATGTTGGCTACCTAAGAGATCATCCCTGATCAGCCCCTGATCAGCCCTGATACTAAAATTTGGGGTCCTTACTTATTACAGATTTTCTGTATGCTCTTGATTAACAACTCTAAGTTCTCATCTAAACCTGAAGAAGGTTCTAAAACATTTTAAATTTTCATAATAAAATTTAATTGTCACAATAATTCAAAAGTTAAATGCAATAATGAAACCGTTTTATTTGAAGGTAAACATTGACATGTGACGCTTTTTGCGTTAATTATCGGAATATTTTTAGGTTACTTAGTAATACAAATATTTTGAATTGGTCTACCCACTTCGACCCGTTCATTGTTAATTTTTCTTTATTCTATAATTTCGTGAAACTCCAATTGACGCACTGATTGTTATTATATTTAAATAAAACAAACTAATCCAATTTGATAAAATTCCTGACTTCAGTTTGATCATTAGGATTGTCATCATGTTATTAAACCTGAGCTTTTCTGTTATCACTTTGTTTAATTTATTAATCTGGAATATTTACTCCGGAATAGTCTGTGGATCGTCTACATACGCACGTACCAGTTTTGGTCTAACGTACGCACGTACGTACATACTTACGTACGTATTATTCTCTTGAGCTATGTTTAGTAGATTAACTCTTACCCTATTGTTACGTAACTCATCCTAACCTCATTTTACTACTTGTTAATTATTTTAACTATATCGATATCTTTAATGAAAAAATTCTGAATTCATTGATTCTTACATATTAAGAAAAACTTCATACGTAATATTTTTCGGAATGTACAAAGTTTGGATATAGTTACACTGCATTTTGTAAATAGATAAAATCATGGACTGCATGTGGAAAACTTTTTTTTGAAAATTTTCAAATTACTTCAAACATGCAGGAAGTCGAAATTCTACCACGAGATGTCTTCATCCATTATCTTAATGTTCCAAAGGGAAAAGTCATTTTATGGTGGTTTTCTACTAAAAAGAAAAATATTTCTTTTGGCTTGTTTCAGAGAAAAGATAATATTGTGGCCTCCGGAAACGTTTTTATCGCTGCTCCAAATACTCCGGAACCTTATCAGGACGGAAACGTAACTGGTCCAATATCACCTGCTAAAATTGCAATCTCTGAACATAAACCTTTAGTAAAAAGTTTAGCTGCTAGTCTTAAAAGTAGAAATTCTCTAGATACTTATCAGACCGATGAAAATGATGATATAAATGAGGATGATGTAAATCCTACTTTAAATAATCAACAAAGTAGTCGTGTGAGAGGACGTAAAAAATCCGTATCAGCTCAAATAGCTAAAGATCCAAGTTTAAAAGAAATATTACCAGTTGAGCATTATAATTCTGCTACAACTACAATTAAGGGTCGTTATAAAGCAACTGAAGAAGGAACATATTGCCTATGTTTTGGTAATATATGTTCATCAAATTGTATTCTTGACTTTTAATCTGTCTTGTTTAATTGTAATCTCTGAATTGTATTTCTAATCCTTTTATTTTATTTTATTTTATTTTATTTATTTTTTTAAAAAAGATAATTCTTTTTCTCGCACTACCTCAAAATCTCTAACATTTTTTGTTGCTCTAAAAGATGGTATGTTAATTATGTTAATTGTGTTAAATACATTAAATATTTTTACGAATATTACTATTGACGATTGATTATAGATATTGATGAAGATCAAAATGAACCTGAAATATCCGGCTGGTTATTAAAAAAGAAGAGGAAAAAAATGCAAGGTCGAATTAATATCCTTCTATTTTATTAATATTTATACACTCGTGTATACTATTCCTAATCTACAATTATTATACAGGTTGGGCTAAACGTTGGGTCCAAATTGACAATGGTGTTCTTTCATATTACCAGCATCCTCATAGTCCCTGTAGAGGGAAAATACATATTGTCCTTTCAACTGTTTCGTCCAGTCAATCTTATCGTTCAATACATTTGGATTCTGGAACTGCAACTTATCATCTAAAAGCTCTAACAAATGAAGAGTTTGATGCCTGGATGACGGTTATTCGTAAATATGTAAATCTTTCTAATGAAAAACAATTTAATGATCTTGAATACCACAGAGCTTCTTTTTACCAACAGCCTGGAGAAATTGAAAGACTTCAAAGTTTATATTTTAAACGACAAGGCTTACTAGAAAGGCGTCAGAGTTTAAATAAAACCATTGACCAACAAAATGGTTTACTTCAAAATAATTTGGATGAAGATCTCGGGAAAATTTATGGTGTATTTAATAACATGGATAATGAATTTAAAATGATTAAAGAGAATTTAGATGCTCTTAAAAGTGCCATCGAAAATTTAACTTCTAATAATAATAATAATATGACTCAGCCTCAGCCGAGTCCAAATATTGAAGGAAAATCTCGTAAAAAATTTACTCTATCTTTGCAACGAGGTAATAAAAATTATTCAACAATTAAGCATAAATATTAACATAATTTTATAAATTTAACATAAAATTTTATTATGATTTTAGGTCCAACTACTCCTCAACCCGATACAATCCAACCTCCTGTCACAACGCAAATACCATTAGATCAAATTCATGATAAATTATCTGTGAATGTCACAACTTTAAAAAAAGACAAGGACCAAGCTTTTAATTTGTTACGTGCAGAAATCGAAAAATGGAAATCGGTCGACCGTGCATATCGTAAACTTGCTGCCGAAAATGCTAATTTGCATGAGTCACATGTTAAAAATGATAGCTTTGATGAGAGGCTAGAACATGAGTCTAATGATATAGATCATGCTGATATTAATAGTATGAAAAAGACAAGATCAATGTCTATGAGCACTATAAATACTCATTCTGAATTATTTTTTGATGCTGAAGATATTGATTTAACTGAAGATCTTTCTGCAACTGAAAGTGATCTAGATGTAAGTAATACCAATATCAGTGATGAGGAAAGTGACTCTGGTCCCACATTTATTCAACTTCAACCAGTCTCAGCTGGTGTGTATGACAAACCTCTTGCTGAAAATAATTCTAGTGCCAGTCAACCAATGACAATACAAAGAAGAAAAATTCTTCCTGCCCCAATTTGTGGTGAAGATGTTAGTTTACTCTCCATTTTACGAAAAAATGTTGGTAAAGATTTATCAACTGTTGCAATGCCAATTTCCCTAAATGAACCAATAAATATTTTACAAAATATGGCTGAAGCATTAGAATATAGTGAATTATTAGATAAAGCTGCAAGCTTCGATAATTCATTAGAGAGATTAATATATGTAGCTGCATTTGCTGTGTCAGGATATTCTTCTACCTATTTTAGGACGGGTAGAAAACCCTTTAATCCACTCCATGGTGAAACATACGAATGTGTTCGGCCAGATAAAGGTATAAAAAAATTACATTTTAAATGTTAACTCTTTTCTGAGGCATCAGTATCATAATTTAAATCATTGATTTACAAATAGGATTTAAGTTTATTTCCGAAAAAGTTAGTCACAATCCACCAATAATGGCTGTAAGTACATGTTCTTTTTTTTTGAAATTGATTTTATTATTACTTTAACAAATTTTTTTTGATCTTTTAAAAATTTATAGTGTCATGCAGATTCTCCAAATTGGACTTATTGGCAAGATTCGAAAGTGAAAAGTAAATTTTGGGGTAAATAATCATTTACACTTTTTAAATATTTCTTTTTATATATAATAATGCTAATCTTACATATTTAAATAAATATACTGTTAGGTAAATCGATGGTATGCATAAAAATTTTATTAATTTATTTTTACATAAAATTCAGACAAAAAATAGTATGTGATAATCGTTTTGAAAAAATAGGAATTTATCCCGATCGGTACAATACATATTACTATACCTAAATACAAAGATCATTTCACATTTGCAAAACCTTCCACATGGATGCGTAACATGATATCCGGGACAAAATATATTGAACATACCGGAATGATGCGAATAGAAAATAGAACAACGGGAGAAGCTTGTGAGATCACGTTTAATCAAAGTGGATTATGGAGTAGGTCTCCAAATAGTGAGATAGTTGGAATATTATTTACGTCAAATGGTGAAAAATCTGGAAAGCTTGTTGGTAAATGGAATGAAATAATATTTCATGAGAAAGAAGGTCCAAATCATTTGGAAGTAATTTGGAAAGCAAATTCTCCAATACCAGATTATGAACAATATTATGGATTTACTCAATTTTGCATAGAGTTAAATGAGTTAACACCGGATCTTGATGGATATTTACCAAATACTGATACTAGACTTAGACCAGATCAAAGACTTTTTGAAAATGGTGAAGTTGAAAAAGCAGAGGCAGAAAAACTTCGTTTAGAACAAAAACAAAGAGAGTATAGAAAGTTACTTGAGGAAAGAGGGGAACAGTGGGTTCCACAGTGGTTTGAACTAGAAGGTGATGAGTGGGTTTATAAAGGTGGTTATTGGGAAGCGAGAGAGAGTAAAAGTTTTAAAACAAAACTTCATTTGTGGTAGATAGATATTTTATTATTATTGCAATTTGGTATATAGAACATTTTTAACAATATTTTGGCATTTTTTAATATAGAACAATTGATACTTTTTTTGTAATTAAAATTGTGAATATAATTTAAATTAAATAGTGAAGGTTTGTAAGTTTTGTTTTAATAGTGTGAAAATAGTAAAAATAATCAGTTTGTAATATGTTAAATTTATATTAAACTTTTATTTAAATATTAACAAATATATAATTTGCATTTAGTATAATACAAAATAAAATTAAATAAAAAATTTTAAAATAAAACAAGTAAAATATTTTTTATAAAAAGATAATATATTTAACTCTTTTTAATGATCTTCTGGTTAACAACAAAAAACTAAACTATAAAAAAATGCTATAAAAGATACCAAAGTAATTAATAAACTTGATTTTATACAAGTAGATGTGTTGCTAATAAAGTACCAAGAGTATAAAACTAAGAAGTGAATTACTTGAACAATTTTTGTAAAGGTCATACTTTTCTGTAGTAGATTCTTCTATTATATTTAGTATTTAAATTAAAAAAATATTTTGAAAATTTAGAATGACAAGATCAATACTAAAAATATTAAAGCTTTAGATTATTTTTATATAACTATAAAACTTACAAAAAAGAACCTACAAAGTTTCATTAGTCATCTACTTTTTTAAGGAAATTTTGTTAAACAGTAGATATTTTAGCTTATTCTTTCTAAAAAATCAATATATAATTTTAAAACAGTATTGTTTATCTACTAAAATAGAATTATTACTTAGTAAACTAGCAGTCAGACATTTGGATTTAGCAACTGAGCACATTTAAATGACAATATAAATATATATATATTTAAATCAAAAAACTATTTAACAATACTTTGAGAATATTAGTGCTTTTAACTACTTTGTTTAGTTTATACTAGTTTAGTTTTTACTTTTTTGATGTATAATAATTTTTTTAGATCTATATATTATTAGAATAGAGTTAGATACAGACTTCTTTATCTTGTAATATATAATTCTAATATAGGTTTATAATTATAACTATCAGATTTTTTTATTACTTTTTTTACCTTTTTTTTTAATATTAGTATTAATATTAGTATTTTTTTTTACTTTCCTACAAGAGGTCATTAGATTGGTAGTATCTTATTGTAGAGTAGTAGTTTAACAAGGCTTTTTAAGTTAGATGTCTTCTTAATACAGATGGTTGTTTAAAAGTACTCTTAGAAATAACTGCAGAATGTTAGATCTAAATATTAAAATATATAATATCTTTTTTTTTATTAACAAATTAATTTTAATAAAAGAATTTTTTTTTCATATTAGTAGCCTCGCTAGTATCTTTATTAGATCAAAGCATATATATGCATATATTTAAACTATCTAAATTGCAGATCTGACATTATTTGGCTGCTCTATTGGATGCTCAAATACAGTCTACCGCACTAGTTAAAGCTATTGCCTATACTGGAGGGCTGCACCAAGCTAGCCAGTGAAACTATAACAAGATAGTTTCAAATCAAAAGAATTTTTTACTACATTTATCTGGCAATTTACCCTTTCTAAACTATCCTTCTTTTTACAACTATATTCTAATTTTCTGCTAATTTTATAATAATACTTTAAATTTAATTTTTTAATAAATAATTTTACTTCCTCTTTTATCAAGAAATTATTGCCAGTATTTTTTCATTTGTGATTATATATTTTTTTTTCTTTTCCAATTTAATCTGTCCTTTCTAATCAGAGATTCAGCTCTTGGGAGTTTTCTCATATCGACTTCCTTAGTTCTTCCTTTCTGATTTGCTGTTCTATATTCATTTTTTTTTCCTAGGAGCCTGTTCTATGGGGTTCTTTTAGAAGTATTTTTCTGTTAACTCCTTTTTCTTCTAAATACCTTGGGTTTTCTTTTGGTTCTTTTGTTTTTGAGTCTTGATTGGTCTGCTCTAGTTTTCTTTGTTCTGTGATATGACTATAAGAGTCTTCTTTTTTCTTCCTTCTCTTTGTCTTCTTTTTCTTCTTTTTCTTTTTAGGGGTTTATTTCCTTCCTAAAAACCTTTCTTATATTTCGATAAAAATTTCTGGTCTTCTGAAGTGTTCTACAAAAATTCTTTTTATTATCTTTAGTAATATATCCTTTTTCTTTCTTTTCCAATTTTTAGTTTTCTTCAAATTGGGTACTAATGTTTCTTGAGACAAATTCAAATTCAGATTCTATTGAGTCTTCAGACCATATATCCATTTTGTAAGCAGATCTTTCTTCTTCTTTTTCCACATTTTATTATTGAGCTGTGAGTCTTTAATACTTGCTAAATATATTACCTCTATTAACCATTCTACTGGGGATAGTAATACAATTTCTGGTCTTGTTTCTTCTTGAATCTTGTTTAGCAATTTCACTTCTGTCAGACCTAAAATATTTTGTCTCTTGTTTCTCTTCTTATTTTCTTTTCTAATTTCTTTTTTTTCTTTTTTATATCTTGCTGCAGTAAATTCAATAGATACTATAAACTGTATTATTAGAAACTTCAATACCATTTTGTTATGCTGTCTTTGGTGAGTCTTTCTTTGTTCTTAAAGTCTCTTGCTCTAGTCTAGATTTAATTTTGTTTTTATTTTAGCAGCTTGTTTTTCTTTTGCCAGGCTTACTTTTTGGCTATGTTTTTAGCAGTTTGATTTCTCTTTTGTTAAACTTGTATTTTTCTCTTTTCTTTTTTAACTTTTCTTTTTATCTCTTGCTGATTGATTATAGTAGTCTTAATAGTAGAGGTCTGATCTGATGAATAGTATATTCGAATATTTATTGAATATTCGAATATTTGAATAATAATTTTTTCACCAAATTGAATATTCGAATATTTAATTTTTTCACCAAATATTCAATGAATATTCAAT